GCATGTCTCTATATATATATATATGTTTATATATATTTGCCCATGTGTCTGTCAGTGTGTTGGTTAGCCGCCTGGCTACAGTGTGTGTTTGTGTATTTATGTTTGAGTTGGCATTGTCGGCATCGAGGCCTGGCAAAATTGTTGTTTTGTTTCGTCGTATCTGTGCCATTTATTGTGTTTTTTTCGTTTATGCACCCTGTAAATTAGGGCCACGGGTTGATGGGCACTAAAGTGTAATTGGCTGTGAAAATAGTGGAAATGCAACCCGGTTTTATCCATTTTTATACAGCCATAAATAATGTTACACATAAAATTCCTAAGTTTTTATAGCGGAATTTCTTTAAATGAAAGTTTAGTTACGCGAATTTGAAGGAGTTTTTCAAGGTTGATTTTGTTAAATACAGTTAAATATTTATTTATTTATTCTTATAATTTAGAAATTTGAATAAATAAATTAATATTTCTATAAATTTAAGTTCCATTGATAAACTGATTGAATTTTTCTTGATGACTTCTTACTATTCAAATGGCTTTTGATTCTTATTTTTACCTATTATCCCGAGCAGTTAATACTCTCACTTAGAAAATCCTATAGGGTATTCATGCCACTCACCTGTTATTGTGGCCTCCTTCCCTTCCTGTGTTTGTTTGAGTATTTTGTAATTTTTGTCTCGCTTTTGTTCTTCTCTGGTTTTATTTTTTTTTTGCCTTCGTTGGCCGCCGTGTGTTGGCTGTTCGGTACAAAAGCAAACACTTTTCTTGGGTGCAGGCGACTTTACATAGCCCGCTTTTCCCCCTGGCTTTAGCCCCAACTCTTGCCCGTCTAGGCAACGGCAACGGCGACGGCAATGGCAAAGGCAAAGGCCCCCATGGCTTATATTTACCTCTCGGCTTAAGCCAAGGCGAGACGTTTGTCTCTTGGCCGCCCGCTTGGATTCTGTTTCGGTTTTCGGGGGTTTTGGGGTTTGCCAGTGCACGGGGAAAAATATAAAAAAAATTGTAGATGCCATGTAATGAATTTTATAATTATAACAGTAATTTTAATTATTTTGAAAGTACATTTTCTATATATAATTTTACACTTGAATACCTATTTATTAAGCCAAGTTAATCATAAAATGTCTTTAAATTTGTGAATAAATAAGTATAATTTATATTTTTCTGGGACTCTTTAGTTATTGTGAATTTTTTATATTTGATTAGTCATTATTTTAATTTATTTAATAAACTTAATACATTTTTATTTATTTATGTATTTTCTATATTTATTTCTATATTTATTTATCTGTCTGTCTGTTTACTCATTAGTATATTTAATTATTTGTTATTTTTTTTAGATTTATTTATTTATTTCTCATAATATTTCCTGGTGCTCTAGATGTAACTTTATAACTTGGTGCATTCATAAACATTTCTCCGAGTACATATTTCTTTCTCTGCAAAGCCAAACCTCTCTCTTTACGTTACGTATTAATCCAAGAATTACAATTACAATATGGAATTGGCATTGTTCTTTTCTATTTATTTCTCTCCCTGTACATAGGTTGAGCTCTTTTTTTTTTATTATTATTATTGTTGTTGTTGTGTGAGTGTGAGGTTTTGGTTCCGTGTTTCGCCTGTTGACGCAAATTGCCAAAATTGCCTGCGGTTGTGTTTACATGGCGAATGTAACAGACAACAGACAAGTGACAGCCGCACGCACCGAATTCAAATAAAAGCCAATGCCAATGCCGGCGTGTCTACAAGTGCGAAGGTGGAAATTCGTGTGGGAGAAAGCAGAGGGGGGGAGGAGGCCATGGAAAATGCAGGACGAGTCAGCAATCGTGCGGTACATTATTTAATTTTGACATGTGCTTGGGGTTTTGTCATCTGTATGTACAACGCACCAACTTGTAAATAGCAATTGGCAATTCAAATTTGGGCTAATGTGCCTTTGATATATGGATTGAGGTCTGTGTTACCTCTGTAAATATATGTACATATGTATATATGTATATATAATGTGCATATATTGATATAGATTCCGGGCTAAGACTCTCATTTGCGGCCATCAATGGAGCAGGCGTCTTTGATGATTTTATTGGCTTCGGTTGCCTTTTTCGATAAATCATTTGCATTTATGGCATGTGACAAGTGCTGCCATTTCTCTTGCTCAATCTATGGTCCTCTGTCTCTTTCCCATTGCCAGCGTATGTCTCTTTCTAATGATGGCCAGTTCTGATCTGAATTGATGGCATTTCCATTAAACATGGTTTCAAATCAAGTGCTTTCCGCTTCCTGTTTCGAATGCAGAAGGTTTCGCTTTAATCTCGTCGGGGTTTTTGCGGTTTATGTTTATTTGTGGTAATCTAAAATTTAATTTATGTTAGAAATTTAAAGCGGGGTTTAAAGGTTGACATTAAAATCTAAAAAGGATATTCCAGCTTCTCTTTAAAAGTCAACCCACTTCATATAAAAACTAAATTTCCTCTATAAATGTTTTCAGTTTTTTATTTACCTTTCCTGTTCGGCAGTCTATGGACACTCCTCTATTATTTTCAGTTTGTTAAAGATCAATTAAAACGCTCGAATAAACAATTGTACTTTATTGTTTGTCCGATATCGCTTGTTCCTGTTGATAGTATTTCTTTTTTTGTGTTTTTTTTTTTGTTGTTGCCATTGCTCTTTGACCGTAGAGAATATTTTCCCATTTCCTTTCAACTTTTCCTCCTGTTGCCTGGGCTTTGTTGTCTGCACTTTTCAATCTCCTTTCGGTTTTCCTCACTCTGTTCCGCTGCCCGGGTTTTGTGTATTTTTTGTGTGCAATGTTTGCAATGGCTATTCACTTCTCGAGACATGGATTTGATTGCTTGGATGCCTTTCAATGTCCATTTTCTGGGCTTTAACCCGTTTTCATAATATTTAAAATATATTATAGAAAAGAATATTGTGTAAAATATATTAAAATATACATTGAACATCTATCAATTTTTTAATAAATACATTTTCTGAATTTTTACAATTTTCGAAAATAAAAATATTATTTATCAAATGGAAATTTTAGACCCTAAGTTCCCTCAATCTTCTAGAAATTAACATAGAACTCTCGCTTATTATTTCGGGATTACTTGGCTTAGCTTGAAACTTTTGTGGAATGTTTTTAAGGAAATAAGATTTTTGAAGTAACCAGGAACTCGGCAAAGTTCCAGTGATTTAGGCCGCATCTAGAGGGTTAACTCAGCGCTGCCCTGCTCTGCTCCTCGATGAGGATGATGACGATGATGATGATGATGATAGCAGTGTTGAATGGCGAACGAACGCCCGAGATATAAATTTCAACAGTATACTTTTTTCATCCACTTTATGCTCGTACTTCCTATATTTCTTCGCATTTTTTTTTTGACTTGGTTGTTGCTGTTGTGTGTGGCTGAAAAGCAAATCTGTGTAGTGGGCGCTTGTCCTTCCGCTTATCGAAGGAGCCGGAGCCGGAGCAGGAGCAGGGAGCGCAGCCTCTCCTCTCAGATCTCCAGATGCTTTTTGCTGTGCGGTTTGCTCCTGCCGAGCCTCAATAAATCTACCATCGCATATCTTTGGGGCTCGCTTTCGTGTTTTTACAGCATCAACAACAAAATAACTCAAAGTGTCATCCAAACTCTTGAAGTCTATTGTGTGGTGCCTTTGTTATACAGCATCCCGTCCCGTCCCTTCCTTCCCGCTTCACCTTCCATCTTTTGCTTTGCTGGATGGCTGCTTATCCTTACAAAGCGTTTGACGGTTGCAATCGGCGAGGTCTACACGTGTTTCCAGGGGCGGTGTTTAAGTGGGGGAAGACACCGGCGCTGTGATTATTTGGATCTGCCTGGGCACTGGGGCAATATGCAATACCCAATGCCCCAATATCCACTATTCCCCTCCGCCTCGAGTGGCATTTTTATTAGGTGTATGGCTCTGTAAATCACTATGCCACCCACTCAACTACAGGCTCGTATAGAATGCTGAACAAATATATATCTACACTGGGGAAATAATGTTTAGCCGGCTATTTACCAACAGTGATCAATTCCTTTACTTAAATATTTCCTTTTTTAATTTTATATATCGAAATACCTTCCAAGTTTAATGTATAGAAATACCTTGTAATTTTCCTATTGATCTCAACATTGATTGATTGATTTAAGAAAAATTCCAAAATATTTCCATTAACAATTTCCCCTGCAACGTGTGTTTATCCATTTCGAGGCCAAAAATATTTCGTTCGATTTTTAGTGTTTTCGAGTGTATACTTACTTACTTATATGCCTTATTCATGGTATTTTGGCGTCTGATAACAATCTAAACAAAATGTATGACATTGTTGGGGCTCCGGCTCCCCATTTTTCCCGATGTGGGTCGCCCACTCAACAAAAGGCGCCGCCAAATACCCAATTCCCATGCATATTCCCCCAGATTTTTCCCAGGGTCTCCAAGGGGACCAGAACTGTTCAGCCCAGGACCTCCCCCATCATCCGTACCTTTATATATTTTATGTTACCCACTTCAAGTTGTGCTGGAACTTATTACATATTATAAATCATATCATGGCATGACATTATGCTTAGCATACAATTTGCCAGGGAGAGCGACCTTTTCTCACTCGGTCTTCGTTCGAAGATGAAGGTCGAATTTTAAATTTGTGAGCCCAAGAAACTTTTTATTTATTTGGCAAGTTTTGATTTTTGTTAAGTAAGGTATTAATTCAAGTGTTGGTAATTTATCAAGATTTTTAAAACAGTTAATAAATATTTTAGCAACGAAAAGGTCGTGAGAAGGTATCAATATTTCAGGTTCTAAAGACTTTTTAATACATTTTAAACTCCTAATAATTAACTTACCTCTTTTTAAGAGTTCCAAGTTTATAATAATATTATTTTGTTACTTAAGTTTCCTTCAAAAACATTGTTATAAATACTCCCTTCACTAGATCACCATCTTTGTAGCAACATTAATTTTCACCCAACACTCATAATGAACAACAATCAAGATTTAATTGGTTTCCTCGCTTTGCATACCAATTTTGGTTTATTTTTAAACATAAATTTAAATAAAGTTCTTTATAGTATACATTTATGTGGCAACGTTATGACATTAGCTAAAATATAGAACCTCCTTCTTTCGATTACGATTCGATCCACTTCGTTACGGGATTGGGGTCTTGTGTTGCAAATACTGTTTGTCCTCCTACGGAACAGCAGCAGCGTGCCTTGGTGTCGACAAATTACATAGGCTAATTAGCATATATATCACATACTTCCTAAATTAAGAGCTACAACTAAAAACTAAAACGACGAACGTGTGCGCCTGTGTGTCTGCAGCGATTGGGTATTCCTCTCGCTTTTAAGTATTTTGATTTGGTATTATAGTTCTCTTACAAACGAGGTTTAAGTTTACAAAAAAATTAATGGACTTCCCATGGAAGGCAGGGGAAAGCATTAAGTATATACATATACTACATACATCGATTTGCGTTTTGTTGTGTGTGTGTGTGTTTAGTAATAGTAACTCTTGTTTCGTTTTTTTTTTATTAAATATTTTGTTGTTTGCGTAATTTCATAAGAATACTTTGATTTTGTTGCTGCGGAAGTTCGTTGCTTATCTTTTTCGTTTCGTTTCTTTTCTGTTTTTCCATTTTCCTTTGTTTTGTCGTGTTCTCTCTTTTGAAAAAAGTGAAAAAGTGAAAAGTTAAAATGAGATCAATACCAAACAAACAAAGGCAAAGGCATTAGAAAGACTTGGTTGGGCATTTGGTATTCCTATCTAAGCGATTCTAAGCCGATTCATTTAGTGTGACCAGGCCAGTGGCCTGAATGCATCAATTGCACGCCCGGCCACACTCAAAAAGCGAAAACATAAAGTTTGAATAAAAAAAAGCGGGAATACTTAGGGTCTAATTAACGCTTGATTACATTAGTAGTTGCAGTTAGTAGTATTTCGAAAGATCTCTTCTTGCTCAGATGCTGTGGTCCAGAATGGAGACCGGATCGTAGGAACGTTTCTTGGCGCGCTGCTGGCAGATAAAGCCGGACAGCACGAAGACGGTAATGGTGGCCAACACCGCGTAGCCCAGCAGCCAGTTGAAGTAGTAGTAGGTCTGGTCGAAGGCACTCTGGCAAATGGTGATGGGTGCAGGAGGGGCAGTGGTTGTGGAGCTACTAATGGCTATCAACTGCGACTTTTGCTGGACAGGAGCCTGGGTGGTGCTGGTGCTAGTTGTGGTGGTGGTGGTGGTGGTGGTCTGTGGCTCGCCCAGCAGTGGCGGCAGGGAATCTTGCTCCTGCTCCTGCTCCGTATCCAATTCCTGGGACTCTTCGTCCGAGTAATCCCTGTAGCCATCGTCGTGCGGCATGGGGGCACACTTGGGCCAGCACACCGGACAGCAGGTGTCCTTAAGCATGACCTGCCGCTCGCTGGGGCAGTTGAGGTTGCCGCAAAAGGACATGGCACACTTGGACTCACCCTTGACGCACTCGCACTGCTGGCAGCCATCGGTCCAGGTGTCACCGTCCTTGTAGAATATGCCCGGTATCTTGGACTCGCACACGCCGCCACCCGCCTGCTCGTCGCAACTCTGGTGGCAAAACAGAAAGCCGGAGTTGCACTTGCACCGCTGGCAGTCCTTCAGCCACATGAATTCCGTGTCCAGGACCTTTGTGCAATTGGGCTCGGCGCGACACTCGTAGGTGCCACAGCACTGGCCCGGTTGCTGCATGTTCTCCGGCACCAGCTCTGCCACCACCTCGTCCCCGTTGCAGTCGGGAATGTAGCAGGTCTTGCACACACACTTCCGGGGCAGGCAGCACTTTTGGTAGTCGCTCTCGGAGATCGAGCTATTGTGGTAGGACACCGACACCGTTGTCTCATTGTCCTTGTCTGTAATACCCGAATCTGTAGGCAGCTCCACCGCATTTGACTTAATCAGTTCCACCGCAATCAGGTTCTCGCGCACCACACTATCCGCCGGGCAGTGCATCTCCGCGTCCGGCGGACACTTGACCGAGTCACATAGAGGCAGCAGCGGCGGCAGCTGGTCAACTGTAACGATATAATCGGAAGGCGAAAATGGTGGTCAATAAAATATGAAGGTCTCAGTTGCAGCTTAGGTGTACTTAAGTGGGGTTGGGCATGGGCGTGGGGTGTTGTTTCGTAGGTGGCAGGCTTTAATGGAAGGTCAGACAGAGTATGGCACTGAGCGGAGTTTAAGACCTCTTAACTACAGCAAAAATAGTAATAGGGTAAGCTTCTTAAAAGGACATAAGAACCTAGTGCAAATATACTATTTCTATTAAGAGGATCTTTAAGTGTTTTTTACTTAAGGTTGAAAGAGGAAAGGTAAGATAAGTAGTAAATAAAATCTTTAGTTATTATTTATCTGATTAAAAATTGCCTAACAACTGAAACTTCTATCTTTTTGTTGAAAACTGAAAATATATGTTTGCTTAGACTGCTCACACTTTTCCAATATATTTTTCACAAGTTTTCCCATATCTTAGTCTTAATTATACACCTTTTGAGTCATAGGGTCAGCTGAATGCATTAAGGTCAGGCTTATCGGATGGCATGTCCGGCCCCTTATCTAAGTAAGTGATTCATTAACCGAGAACGGAACGGGAGGGAGTCACCACCTGCATGGAATGATGGCGAAGGGAGAAAAAGTTAAACCAATTAAAGTTTTTCTCCACTTTCGGGAAATGCTATTACGACTGCTATTGATTGTTGACTCTGTTTGCCTTCCATTAATTTTATATTCTATACCTGAAACTCCACCCCCAACAACCCACTAAATTTTTGGGCTTTTCTTTAGTCGCTTTCCTTTTGGGTTTTCCGCGGGTTTCGTTTTACGGAGTTTTCTCCTTTCTTCGGTGCACGTGCACGTTCATTGTTCAAGTTAATTTGTCATTTTCACTCGCCCATATAATGGGAAATTTTCCTCTTGTTCCCTTACGTTTCCTTAACCTTTGAGTGGGAGCCCCTCGGTTTTCCTTTTTCCGGGTAAACAATCAAGTTCTGGCCGAGGACAAAAGTAAATATCTGGCTGGGAAAATCTACTTGATTTAAGCATAAGAATCTCCGCAGTCTGTCGAATATTAAAAACTAAACTTTTTGGGTTCGGATTTGTTTTTTTTCTTCTTCTCCTTTTTTTTTTTTTTTGTTTTTGGTTTGTTCCTTTGGGCCTGCACTTTGATGTCGGAGGGCAGAATGTTTGTGGGGTTTTTTGGTCCGGGAACAGACCCGAACGGCGGCTGCTTTGAAGGAGCTCAACAAACTTCTTACACTTTATTTAATTAAAGTTTTACTTGTTCGCTGTTTTTCGCATTTATTCGCTGACGCTGTCGTGTTATCAGCGGGACAGCTGGGACAGTTGTCAGCCGCCCTCGTATCCGCAGTTCGACTTTGAAGTTTGGCGGCGGGAGGTTAGATTTAAACGAGGCATGTCCAAAAAATAAAAACAATTTAAATGTTGTTCAACTTGATTCGACAAAAATCGGACAAAAAGCAATCAAAATACTTGGGGATTAGTCGGAGATTAAATGCTCTTTTTTTTGGGTGATTATGTTGTAGGTTTCTAGTTAAGAAATATACATGATTTTAATAAATAATATTTAATAGGTATAGAGAAACCTTGCTAATGCTTATAACTAACTTTAATTTATTTATAAGGCTACTTAAATGAGCAACTACAGTTAAATTGTGTTTTTCCTTAGGCTTTTAGTGGTGTTATCTATCTTTTCACAAAAAGTTTTGGTTGTAAGTTTCAATTTTTCTTTTCAAAGTTTCCAAGAAGGTAAAATCTTATCGTATGTTGGTACAAAAAATTACCCACAACTTAAATCCTGACCAACTTGTTACCTAAGAAAAATCTCTACTTTATTTTCTATTCAAGAAGTTTGTATGCTGTTGTAAGGATAGAGTCTATTAATTTTTTAAATAATCTTGAAAAAATAAATCATCAACAATATTCTATTTATTTACATAGTTTTTCTATGATTTATCAGACATTTTCTTATGATGAAGGGTTTTTAACGAAACAAAAAACCATTTTAGTATGATTTTATACCTAAAATTTTTGTCTTTCAGCGAAGAGTTTGTGATTAGCTTAGTTGAATATTATTTATAAATATTATAATTATATACAATTACCTAAAATACCCTTTCTGTCGCTGTAGAGTAACCGAAAAAACAAGAAAAATGTGAATGAATTAGCCGTCAGACGAGGACATGGCATTGCATTTCGCATTTCGCAAAGCTCAGAGAGCTGGAGCTGGAGCTCACACTGGCGGAGCAACTGTCAGAGTAGCCGGCCACCTAACCTAGATAAAAACCAAACCGCACACTTGGCTGCCTATTCAGATAAAGTCGGTGCCGGCGACAGAACCAGAAGCTATGGAGAACCGGGGCCTAGAACCAGATCCCCCCGAAGACTCCGGGGAAGAGGACAAAAGCGCACAGAAACTTGTAGATACATGGTTGGCTTTTTATATTACCCTTTTTTTTTGTACTCTTTTTTTATACTCTTACCCTTTTTTTTGTAGATATTTTTCCCCCACTTTGGCTGCTACTTTGGGGTCTTCGGTGAGAAACTTATAAACAGCCGTGGAAAGTTTTCATAAAGGATGAAAGTACGAGAACTTGCACACACACACCCAAACATACCCATCTATAGACACTCTCGAGTGTTTTGCATTTTATGTAGCTTGAATGGAGAAAAGCCAGAAGAGAGGGGGAGTAGAGCTCTTTAAAAAGCAAAAACTTTTTTAATAATCCAGCGACAACGAGAAACAACACTGGCTGTGACCTGCAGATGCAGATACAAATACAAAATATCTTCACTTCGAACTGTGTCAGGAATTTAAATTGTTAGTTTATCTCCTGCGGCAGCTGTGATTGGAAATCCAGTTTAACCCCCGGCAGCACCATTGGATATATATGGACACCTGAAGCCACTTGCAAATTGAGTGATTTCCCGGTGGCAGACATCCGAGAGATACATCTGTGTGCGGCTGGCAAGCCACAGACCATAAGCCTGCCGATGTTACCTAATTTTCATCCGAGAGATTCCGGAGTATGTGATTTTCTTTTGTCTTGTCTGCCTGGTCTGGCCAATCAGCCAGTCCTCCATCCATCTATATATATCCAACCATCCATCGATGACGAACCCTTTTGTTGTGCCACTTTTGGGGCTGCTCACTGAGTGTGTTATCTGGCCAGATTATCTGGCTGAGTGAACGCCTCGGCTAAACGAAATTCAATCAGGCTAATAGCTGGCATAACCACACTCAGAAAATTGGGGATTTATTAAAGGAAATATTTAGCAAGCTAGCTCTCAAATTATTAAAAAAAAAATCTCCAGAAAAATAGTATTATTTTGTGCTGAATAAAAGTAATTTTCAAACTAAATTTTAAGGAAATCTCATATCCTTTTCTATGTAATTTTCTTTCCTACAAAGATCCCAACTACTTTATACACATATTTTCTCCAAGTGCCCTTGCCCTAAGTGCTGCCTCTGGTTGTGATTTGATTATGCAACTGCCTTTGGCAGTCACATTCCCAGCTCTGCTTCGCTCGTATCGCAGCGATGATGCCAAGCTGGCCGGTACGTCTGGGCCAGTCGGTTTTGGCCTTACTGTACGGTCTGACCAGGGTGTTTGGCCTGATGGCCACCGGCCATTCGTGTCCTCGGGGCATCGAGAGGGTGAAAAGGAGCTTGTATTGGCGCCTCCACGGCTGGGTGATGCTGATCTTTGTGGGCGTTTTTTCGCCCTACGCCTTCTTTTGCATTTTCCAACGGATGGCCTTCCTGCGCCAGAACCGATTGCTGCTCCTGATTGGCTTCAATCGATATGTCCTGCTGCTGGCCTGTGCCTTCGTTACCCAGTGGATACACTGTTCGAAGCAGAAGGAGATCATTGGGTGTCTGAATCGATTGCTGAGATGCCGCCGGCAACTAAGGAGGCTGATGCATACGCGGGAGCTAAGGGATTCACTGGACTGTCTGGCCACCAGGGGGCATCTGATGCAATTGGGCCTGCTGCTGTTTGCCTTCATCTTCTCAACGTTTCAGCCCCTGCAGGTGCTTAAGGATGATCCGGAGGTCAGGCGTAATCTGATCTATGCCTGCTGTTTGGTCTTCATCATCACCTGCCAGCTGACCCTGCAGCTTTCTCTGGGCATGTACACGTTGGCCCTGCTCTTTCTGGGTCATCTGGTAAGGCACTCGAATCTGCTGCTGGAGAGGATTCTTGCGGACGCAGAGCGCATCTTGGAGGGTAGCAACTTGCAGGCTGGTTATGGTGCGAATCGCCAGCAGCTGTACCGGAGCCAGCAGCAGTGGCTGGCCCTGGAGCTGTGGCGCCTGGTACGAGTGCATCAGCAGCTGCTGAAGTTGCACAGGTCTATAAGCTCACTGTACGGCGTCCAGGCGGTCTGCTTCGTGGCCTATGTGCCCATGGAGTGCATGATTCACCTGTTCTTCACCTACTTCATGAAGTACAGCAAGTTTATAATTCGCAAGTACGGCCATGGCTTCCCATTAAACTACTATGCCATTGCCTTCATGTCGGGTCTCTTTACGAATCTTCTGCTGGTGATTCTGCCCACCTACTACTCGGAGCGGAGATTTAGATGGACCAGGGAGAGGCTAAGGTGTGGAAGTCTAACCTTTCCATCACGAATCATTGCCAAGGAGCTCAAGAACACGGTAAGTTAATCAATTCTATATAAAACCATTATATGCACTTGTTTAGTTTACAAAATATACTGTTCTAAAAACTAATTAAATGCCATTTGTATGCAGTGAAGCCTTCTCGTAAATGACACATCATAAAATAGTTATGAATAATAAAAGCCCACTATATAAGGAAAAGCATTTAAAGCTATAGAAAAAGAATCAATAAAGATTGTAAAACGATTTCAATTGAATCAGAACTGACTTCCTGAATTCTTTATTGCAATCATAAATGCACTTCTTGAAGACCTTTCTAGAATAATATTTCCATATATCTTTACCAATCACACCTCAATATTTAATTAACTTATCGTTCCTGCAGCTTAACTACTATGGCCTGTATCTGAAGAATGTGGAGTATATATTCACTGTCAACGCCTGCGGACTGTTTAAACTGAACAATGTCTTGCTGTTCTGCATAGTACAGGCGATGCTCGACTACCTCATGATACTGATACAATTTGATAAGGTCTTGAACCAGTAACTCGGCCCAGACAATGGCCATAAATATATGTGGCCAATAAATTAAGCTGTCTAGGGTAAATATGTGTAAGCAGAATCCCGGGAAAGGGGTGGCTTAACTTACGTGTCGTTGCACTGGAAACAAATATTAGTCCATATATTATTAGCATCTGGTGCAAGCACCTCCTTGGCTTGTGCAAGCTCGGCATGTTGCCTTTTGTGAAAGGGTGGGTGCTTTTTTCTGCTTCGAGGGGGTGGTGGGGAGAGATGGCGGACAGCAGCTGATGACAATCGATATGACCTTGCCAAAGACTCGTGTGTTGCAAATTCCTGCCCGCTATCAAATCATATAAATGTCTCGTTATAATTTGCAAAAATCAAAATCAATTGGCATCTTCTCGGCGAAAATCAACTGCAAAAAAGGAGAACACGGAAAGAAATCAAAAGGAGGTATTTGAAAGAGATAAAAAATCTAAAAATAATATTAAAATAAATATTTGTCAATTTGTTTTCATTTAAGTTTGCTTTAATAAGAGTAATGTTAAGCTTTAAATAATTTTTAAAATTTCTTTTATAAATAAAATGAAGGCAAAAATTAATAAATAACTACAAATATCCATCAACTGCTTATGATTTACTATTTAACTTGTATTTATTTTCCCTAGAATTCTAAATTTTTCTTTCATAAGTCTTGTATATTTTCTTTTTCAGTGAACGAAAGAGTTTATTTGTTATTCCGCTCATCAGATGAAATGCGAATTCTAATTTGATTGCATTCGCCAAATAAAAAAGCAGAGCAGAGCAGCCAGAGCCAAAAGGCAGTAAACACTCGACGCGTTAATAAGAACAGGCACCTCTCTGCCTTCACAGCGAAATTTTTTTTTTTTTTTGTGGGCTCTTTTATTCGGGTTCGCGGATCGGATCGGTTTTGGTTTGCTTTGGTTTGCTCGCCAGTTTCGTCACTGCTAAAAATAGCAACCTTTTTTCGGCTCTGCGAGTATGTTAGTTTTAATGACCAAGTGCCAGTCTCCCATCACCCCGAGGTGAAGGAGGTGGAGGAGGAGAAAGAGGAGGAGCAGCACCAGCAGCAGCAGCACGCCGGGTATCAGCATTAGGCAACGAGGGTCGGGGTCAGCCATTTTCCCCGGCAACCGAGAAATGTTTGTCCATGTTTTCTGGCTTTGCTGAATGGGAACTGAAACTGAAACCCCCTGAAAGGCACTGATAAAGGTAGGACAGCCCAAGGCCTCCCCTCCCATACAAAAATCGGGGTATATAGGGTTGGAAATTGGGTGGCGGACCTGCTGTTTCCTTGTTTCAGCATCCATAAAGAACCTGTCCATGTCCAAATCGAACAAATTTGACTTGTGTGCACTGAGATATTCAAATCATTTTAAAAATATTTTAAATTAATATCATGTGTGAAATTATATAAAAATAATTCAATGATCCTAAGCAATCATATCTTTTATTACCATAAACATTTTACTTGCCAAGCTAATTTATTTACAAATATATTTCAGCTACAGTTATCATTTATTATCTCTCCAACTGAGATCTTATTTGAATATATCGTACATTAGTATTCCTTAATATTTAGTCTTCATTAAGACACTCATGAAATGGAGAAGAAAATAAAGAGGGAGTCTAGCCATGAGATGAAGTCATCTGATTTAAATCTCGTTTTATCTTAACCATGCAATCAACAATTGAGACTACTAATTCGAGTTTTAGGTGTTTTGCTTCTCGGTTCATTAATTATAAACAAAAATGCAAAAGTTTTAACCTAATTGAGTTTGATTAATGGTAAGAGATTACAGATGAATGAATTAAATGCTTTATTCAGGGTAAGTACTTGATTACTAAATGTTCTTACTAACTGTTATTCTTTTTTTTGCCAGTGTTTTATTGGCATTGAATGCCGGACGATGATTTGCCTTTCATATGCATTCAATCAATTCCTAAACGTATCCATCCACTCCCATTTAAACGAGTCTATGGGCCGGAGATTTATGAGATTGAGATACGAGCTCAGCTTGGCTTAAACTCTGTCGATGAAACTGAATTTCCTTTCATCAAATGTCGGATGGTCCCTGCAAATGAGAGAGAGCTTCCTTCTTCTGTTCCCTGCCCCTGCACCTTATCTTATCTACTGCACAATTTGCATTACCAGGACAGAGTGACAGCAGCGGCGGGGGGGAAAATCAGAGCCAAATTCGGGGGAAAGGTCTTTAATTGCGGGGTGTTGTTTTTCACTTAGCCGATAAACCCGAGCTGCTGCGATTCCTGTTGCACGAAACAACTCTCGGGTGGAGTACGTCCAGCTCTGAACCGAGTACAAATATGAGGGTATGTGAAAAGCGAGTATATGTGTGTGAATAGAAATTTCTGGGAATTTGTTTGCTTTGGCAGTACATACATACGTACATGCAGGTTCAGTAACCTATTGAGAGTGTGCTGACGCTTCGCGGAGAGTTGCCCATAAATATCGTCTATTTGGCTAAGCGGAGCCACAATAAACAATTCAAGATTAATGAACCCACAAAAAAAAATATATATATCGTTTATAAAAGGAAAAACGGGTGAATAAGTAGTCCGAAAATTGGATATAAATGCCAGCAAAAATTGAATGGAATATAAGGAGCGAAACATACATATTCCGAGAAGTTCTCCTGACAACAATCAGCGCTCATATTGTTTGTATCTAGAGGAATTTTAATTATCGTCTGTTTGGCTTCACCGCACAGATCTTATCTTATTTGGGTCGGATTTTGTCGGATCTTTTAATCTTGGCTTCCTGTTGTCACTTGATTTTACCCACTCATCGTTGGACTTTCATTTACCCGAGTAGAACTTTCCCTGCATCGAGAGTCAGGTATCACCAAGAAATTTTGTATGAAGTGGTAAAGTCATTTCTGTTAATGACTGGCTTTCTTGGGATAAAAAATTGCTAATTAAAATTTATTTTAAACTTTAAACACTATCTTAGAGGTGTTCTAATCTTGAATTGTATAAAATAACTAAAGCCATCACTAAGGGTCAGAAAACTACTTTTTATCTTGAGCTTTTACCTGAGATTCACCTTTGTATCTTTATCTTTAAGTGCACATTTGATCGCTTAGCTTACTTTCCCATTAAGAGTTTCTATTGGTCGCGGAGAGCGGTGCATATGTACTCGTTTAACTTAACGGTTACCTTGGGGGCATTCTCTGGAGCTTGTATCGCTAGCTTAGTATCTTTGTATCTGTCGCCGGGGCCTGTATCTGTATCTGCAACTCTGACTGTGTGTGCGGTAATCGCATATTTGTGTAGATGACTAAACTGTGATAGCGCGCAGCTAAGTAACTTTTCCAGCAAAAAAAAAAAAAAAAAAGAAAACAAGTCAAGGGGCTGGGTGGCTCTTTGCAGTGAACTATGAAACGCTGACGAATGCCAGCGATTTCCTCGAGTTCATCATCTTTTTACCTCGAACGCAAAGTTAAGCTTTATTATTGCCATAAATTTTCACTTGAATGCGAAATCTGATGCATCTATGCTTTAGCTTTAGCTTTGGCTGTAGCTCCAACGTTGGCTTTTTAGCCTTTTCTTTTTGTTGCTGTTTATCTTGGAGCGGCAACGGCAACGGCAATGGCAACACATGCAAAATCCCCTTCAGTCTGTGTGCATAAATACTTCCAACACATGCACACATGCCCGCTATTTGCTCGTGTTCGCGTACAATAATTTCACGTTCAACAACTTTTGGCTTTTTTGATGAGCCAGCAGTAGCAGCAGCAACAGCAACAGCAGCAGCCAACAGCAGCAGCAGCAACATCAGCAGCCACAGCAGCAACATCGGCAGCCCTCGCTTGAAAGGTATGGCGCGAAGTCGATTACAAAGGGTCTGGTGGGGGGTTAAGAGGGGGCCTTGCAAGGGGTCTCGAAAGGGGGTTTTGCAAGGGGCTTTTGGGGGGGCCAAGAGCGAACCTCGTGTGGGGCAAGGCGGGCTCTTTCTGTTGCCATAGCCACCGCTACTGCCGTTTCAGCTCGTCATCTCTTTTCAGCGCACTGCAATTTGGAGTTGGCCCGCGGAACTTCAGGCGAAAAGTACACTGAACCCAAAGAAGTTATCGAATTTAAATTAAAATTAAATTAAGATTATTCATAAGATATTATTATTAAATACCCCTGTATTTATATTACAATTTCCTCTAAGATCTCCTATACATTATGAATACGAAAATCTAAAGCAACAATTCAAAATTTACCTTCTTGATCGACCTTCTCAATAGACCCACATATTTACACCATTTACCAAAATTTCAAATAGCCTGTGTCGTCTTTGGAGAATTCTGTTATTATAAGCTTATGAGATTGTAAATCGTAGGTATATTTTCAATCTTCAAATATTTCGTTTAATGGGCGATGACGTCAAATTATTATGGGAAATGCTAAATAAATCTGGGCTGGGGTGTTGGAATTTAGTGAACAATTTATAGTTTGTACGTCACAATTTCATCTTGAGTCGAATGAATTTTTTGTTGTATGCCCGCCGCCGTTATAGACCATATGAGAAATATTAAATGATTTTAATTACATGTTGGAATTTTTTTTTTTGGGGGAATCATATAATTTGGATTTGTTTGTTTCATTTTAACGCGTTGTCATAAAGTTGAAAATGAAATATTATGAGATTATTATTTTAATTTGTATTTAATGCGTGATCCGTTGCTTGTTTGCTTATTTTTTCGCTCTCGTTGCTGGATTATTTATATGAAAGTCTGGCGAAATGACGACCAAGAATATATATGTGTATATCACATCACCTTGTGTGTTGTGAAAAATTATAATGTTAACACATTTATATTATTTGATGTCAAATTTTCTGTGGTTTATGCATAACAAATGACAGAAGCGTCATATGCTATGTTATGTTTTTCGGAAGTTCAAGACCGTTTTCATACAAATTGTATGCGAAGAAAAAACATGGTACAAATTTTGTATTCAAATTTTTGCAAGGGAGTAGCTTGTTTTTCTTTTGATGTATTGAATGAGCTTCTTATTGATGCCACCACCAGGTGTCAGATTTCATTTCAGTGTAGCCAGCCGGGCCGGGCCTGGTCGAAGTCGTTGTCGTCTCGTCTCGTTTCATGACGGTTTTGTTATGCTTTTGGTCGGTCGCTTTTGCCTCGCTCTGACCTCTGAATTTACTGAGTTTACTGAATTTGCCTCTATGCCGCTCGCTTTTTGCCCAGAATACCCTTTCAAGGTGGAGTCTGTAAAGTTTTTTAGCGGGGGCCAATCAATTGCTGAACTTTCATTTGCATTTCGCTGAGCTGTTGATGGGAATCGCTTTGGACTCTAAATGGTTTGCCAGCGAGTTTTTATGAGGGGGGTGTGTTTTTTCGAGTGGTTTTTTAGTTGGAAACTATCTTGAGGTAAGCATACATGAAGCAGCAAACTCTTTTGAAAGCCGTAAGCTAGTAGAGGAATGGCTGTATTCATAAGTTTGTTTTGAAAAACAAATTATACTATTTTGCTATTATGTTTAGGGGGGTTTAAAAGTTTAACTTTATATAAATTGAAGCATTTATTATAAATATTTTATGAAAATGTTTTATTATTGTAACTAACCTATCACAATTTATTGATTTATTTTTGAATTTCAGAATTTAAAACATTTATAAAGGCAATTTACTGAATCAAAAGCTTGGCTTTTTCTTGAAACTCAAGAGCTCTTAAATTCAACTTAGAAATTTGTGAAAAATCGTAAATCACTCTTTCCGAAGATATTTAATATCTCTAATTTTCAAGAGCATTTAAACTTCGACTCTGACACTTCAGTTGTTGTCCCTTCTTTTGATTTTTATTTATTTGCTCTGGTTTATTTTTTCCTGCGTTGCTTTTCAATGTTTGCCTCCTTATGTCGCTCTTCTTTCATTGGAAATTAATTTGTTTGCAGAAACAATTGATTACACAGGGAAATGAATAAGATATTGACGATTCATAAGCATAAATTTGAGCTTAAGATACTCAAGTATCTTTCAGGCTTTATTTGAAGTATTTTTGCACTCCTTTGTAACCCAAGGATGTTAAAATCACCCCGACTACTTAAGCTCGCCTTAATAATTCTAGAAAAATTGAATTCGAACTTGTCTCAGCCACCAAATGTTCCCCAGAGCATTTAAGTTTCGACTCTGTCACGTCAGCTTTTCCCCCTTCTTCTGGCTTTTATTTATTTGCTCTGGTTTCTTATTTTCGGCATTGCTCGTTCGCCTTTTGCCTCTTTAAAGCTTGCCCCCCCCCTCTTCGTCTCTCCAGTTATTGCGAGTTGGCTGGCATAGTATAGCCATAGTAGAGTGTAGTGTGTAGTATAGTGTAGTGGCGAGCTTAAGTAAGCCTTTAATGGGGCGTGCGTGCCGCGTGGGGTAAGGGTTGGGGGCATTACGAGATACCAGATACCAGATACAGATACGAGATACGCGATACGCGATACGAGTGCGTAGTGCGTGGCGCGGCTAATGAAATCAAATTGTTCGATCATTGCGATAAATTCACTTCCACCTCTGCCTAATTTCTGTCCATTTACGCATGCCGTCGCTTTGCGTTTGCGCTTTTTAACCTTGATTTCTTAGTGTAAACAAAAAATACAAATACAAATAAAAAATTAACTAAAAAAAGGGGGAGAAAAAATAATGAAAAAAAAGAAAAGGCCGAAACTGAAAAGAAAAAAAAAAGCGCGACACAGTGCTCGAGTGGGAGTGGGACGCCAGATACAAGATACCGAGATACAAAGATACATCGCGGCATAGAGTAGTACGAAAAGCTTTCAGCATTTTGACGATCTGTCAGTCGCGCCGACTATTTGTCTCTGTATTTTCGCTGCCCGTTCCTCATCTGTTTTCTGTTTTCAGTTTTGTTGTTTTTTTTTTTTCTACTATTCGGCTTGTTGGCTTTTTATTAAGTTACCTATTTATAATTTGTTTATTACTTAGCAAATGCCTGCGAATAATGTTTGAATATGTGTACGTGTGTGTGTGCAGCATCTGGAAGGGAAACCTTGCTGAATGAAAATCGCTTGGAAAATAAGCCAGCGCGAGCGGCGGAACACACGAAAACCATAAATATTTTATAAATGACGTTATTGTACAGTTTTTCCTCTTGTTATATTATTAGCTATGCTATCTTATCTATGTACGGCGGACTCAACGTGTCGTCGCCGAGAGTATAGTAGGGTTTATGGTGTGTGTGTGTGTGTATAGTTTTTTGTCGGCGAGTGTGTCGTCGTCGTCGGTGTTTGTTTGTATAGCCATATTGGGTGTTTGTACGCTACCGTCATTACCCTTCCACTATTATTTTTTTATGCTGCCGCCTGCTGTCTTATATAATCGCCCAGCACAAAAAAAAAAAAAAAAAAAAATCACAAAAAAATAAAGGTTTGAAAAATGATTTAGTCGCGGGTCCACACATAATATATAGATTATGTAGAATTAATGGAATTCTCTTCTCTACACACCTGTGCCACGTAAATTGTGCTGTCTGCTGCCGCTGCTTGCTGCGTACTGATGTTGTTTTTATTGTTGCTGTTTTCCTAGTCACTCGCTTCTAAGTTTGCTGTAGTTCACATTTTATTTTAGTTAACAACACTCACACACGGCTTGTTTAATTTTGTATTTGGTGTTTGTTTTGTTCAAGATATGTTCTCACTTCACTGAACGAAAATTAATGATTGCTGTGCATAAATCTAGTTTTTCTGTTGTTGTTTTTATGCCTTGTAGCTGACAAAGCTCACGCGTTCAGTGCTGAATATTAACTGAATTTTCAAGCTTGATCCGCACAAATTTAAAGCTCGTTGGGGCTCTCTGGTGGCGCCGCGAGAATGGGTTTTGGGGGAGAGATATGGAGAGAGCGATGACGCGATCGGGAGAGTCGGAAATATCTGCACCAAAGCTCGCTCTCTGCTGGCCCGCATTCCTTGCAGCTACCATGCATTCAGTCTTATTGCTCTCTTACCGGCTAGCCGGCTTCTTCAGCTGCTCTCCCACTCTCCCACTCTCGATCTCTCCACCGAAAGCTCTCTGGGGATCGTTTGGAGAAAAGCATAGATCAACGTCAGAAACAACAGGTCGTAAATTTCCTAAGAGCAAGTGGAGAAGATGGAATTTTCGGTGAGTGCATCACGTGCGAGCGTTCGCGAAAAAACTGCAACAGCGATCGATCGATCACACGCATATTAATCGAGGGTGTGGATCGGATCGCACCGGGGGCAACCGGAGGAGGAATCTCTGGAAAAAACAGTAAAGATCGTTGCCTCCATTCCGCATTTCCAGGCCAAGGCGTGTGCGCCATGCAAATGCAAAGTGCGAAATGCGAAATGCAAAATGTTAAATGAGAAAATGGAAAAGGAATATCACGACAACACCCGCCTCACGCCCATCGCATCATCGCTCAGCAGCGGTGCGGATTAATGTAAAATGCGAAATATGCAAAAAATTTATTCACATGCTGGGTGTACTGAGAGAAATATTTGATAAATAAATGCAATAATACGAAATATTGATATACAAATTCTGGAAAAATAGAATACTTATAAAACATATTTTTAGTCCCATTAAAATAAAAGTTATTAAGTTTTTCAAGCTGATTTTACCAAGTTCCAAAATGTATTTTCCCTATTTAATAACAGGTAGTTAATTTGATATTTTAAATTCCCTTAAAACATTTTCTAAAAATTTCCCAAAATTCTCAAATTAAACACCTATTTTACTCCGAATTTAATTACCAAAAGTGTAACTTTTTTCTCTGAGTGCATGACATACGAGAGATCTCTGCATGCATTTATTCGGCAGCCGATATAATCCGCTTGTACTTGCAGATTGTTAAGGTGACTAATTGCTAAGTGAGCGGCGCGGCGCGTTGGCGAATGAGTAATATTTTCGATTCGCATTCGTAGGTTGGTTTCGGCAGCAAGTGTCGTCGGGAATGAATCCGAAACAGTGTCAAGGGAATATTCTGCTGGCGGAATTATTGGATTTACATATTAACAGATCGGGCATAAATATTGATACAATCTTTTTCTCCCCCAGCCAGACGTTATTGATATTGTGGAGAATCTTGAATCGAATGCGGAAATCTGAGGTGCCTTGCAGTGTCTTCTTTATTCATACGTCTGTTGACGTCTGTAATTATATTTGTTTGCTATTTGTTTTCAGAATTGCACCTCATAAAACCAATCTTAATTACATTAAAATTACATTAAAATTTCACAAAATTAATGCTTTTCATTCAATATAAAACCCACCTTAAATTGAACACTGGTTTCAATTTAAGGTGGGTTTTATATTGAATGAAAAGCATTTATTTTGTGAAATTTTAAATGGTTTAATAGAAAATTATTTTAGTATACTTTCAACTTTAAGCCATTTTTTGATATTCACAAACAAATATACTCATATATACTCATAAAAAATAGTCACAAAGTCCTCCATAAATTATGTAAATCAGCTAAAAGCTTCAGCATCAAGTGTATTTCTTTTGGTAATTCCAAATAAAAGATACTTTTGTGAATTGGTTGCCATGGTGTTGCCCATTAAGGTGTTAACTCACTTGAGCGATACACTTTTTGCTTGTTTTCTGCCACTCAAAGGACATTAACCAAGCCACAGAAGAAATCGGATACTTTTCCTTTATCTCGACGCCATTAGCTTTCCTTCGCCACCGACAGTGCATGGCGAAAGCGGGTATATTTTACTTAAGTTTTGCCCGCTTCCCTGCTGCTTTCCGCTTCTTGTGACAGTTTTCATGGTCAGTTTGCCCCATAAGCTGGCAGCAGATAACAGCAGAAAGGCAGAGAAAATCCGTATAATGAAATAAAAATACATAGCTAAATAAAATGGACGAACGGACGAATGGACGGACGGAATCAAAATGAACAGCCAAGGCAACAAAAAGCATGGAGACAACAACATTGATTTCACTTTAACGAGCTTGTAATGTCTTTGAGCCGGCTCAAAGGCGAAAGTATATAAAGAGCGTTATGTATACGACATGTGGGCCACGCAGTTGCCATGCTGCGATGTGCTGTGCTGTGCTGTGCTGTGACTGCCACTGTGCGTCCTCCTAGTGGATGAAAAGTTTGCCGGGTGCTGTCACATCCTAATAGGATAATAACGAGCCAAGGCTGAGCGAAAGTTGTTGCGCCTTGCAGCCGAAACTGGCGAAGAAAAAATAAAATATGTAACAACAATAAACGATGATAAGGGGCCAAGGAACGTGTCGGCTTCTGTTGCCATTGCCTTAAACTCAAACTCAGTTTTAGTCGTAGTCTCAGTTTTAGTCCCATATTCATTCGCCGTCTTCAGCCGCAGTTAGAACTTGAACTGGGGTTATGGGCTAGGCTCAGGCTCCGGGATATTTGGCTCAACATTGCACTGAGAAAAGGAAATCATAAAATAAGAGTTCATTCTTTTTTTTTTTATAATTATATAATTATTATATAGAAACAAGATAAGACTTATTTGTAGATTTAATCACATACAGGGAACTTTAGGAATTACTGGGTGTTTTGAATCCCTTCCAAAGGTGTCTAAAAGTATGCAATAAAATTGGTTAGACACAAAATTTATGTTAAACTAGCTTTTATTAACGAAGAAATTTATTTAAAAATATACCTTGATAATTTATTTTAAGAAAGGAGTTTTATAAGTCAAGTTTATATAATTTATATTTATTTTCTGACATCACAAACCCTTATTTTCTCATAGTGTCGGGTCCAAGTTAACTGGAATCCATTTTAGACCCGGCTGTCTTTGCTAAATCGGCCCGCAGGAAGCGCCGATAAGGACCAACGACTTGCGGCATAGTATAATGCGATGCATCCCCTACAATCCCAACAGGGGCCTGGCTTTTTCCCTTTTCCTCATGGGAAATTATCCTGGCGGGAAGACTTTTCGGTCCCGAGGGTGTTTAAGTGGGGGGCGTGGTGCTGCTTGTTGATGCCAGGAGCTGGGTGTAGCTGCCAAATGATAATTTATGGGCGGAACTCCATGAAACTTCGAGGCGTCAAGGAATCTGTTAGGAAAAGTCCCCCGTTTTCTCAGCCACACAAAAAGTTCGATATGGCTTAGGGATCCTGCTGACACGATGCGGGGTATAAATGCTCCCGTCATGGCCTTAACTTGGCCAAGATGAATTTGAGTACGTTAAGGTGGGCACAAATTAAAAGCAGCAAATCAACATGTTCTACTTAACTGGGCCAAGTGAAAGTGAGGAAACTCGGCTGTAAGACAAGAAAAACAGGAGAGGGAAAAATAAAGAGGGAAGGAGATGTGCGGCGGGACGGAAAAGCGGCAGCGGTTGGGGGAAAGGAACCGAAGTTGAGTGAGTTATAAAGCCAAAAAGGGGAAAGTTGAACGAAATGCTTTGTGAGGTGAACCAAATAAAAAGGTTGAAAGAAAAAAAAACATACAAAAAAACACAAAAGAAATTGAGAGAAAGCCAAGGAATTTGTAATGTGTGAAATTGGTACATGGAAAATAAAATAATTCAACAGAGACCAAAAACGGGGACGGCCCTTTTGCAGTTTTCAGGGATTTATATTTATATTCAGATAGTTTGTAAGAATACAAGGGGAAAGAGCCATAAATTATTATAGGAAAGGCCATAAAAAATACGTAAAGTTTATTTATGTGGTTTAAATCTTAAAGGGAAGGGTGTTGAAGGTTAAGCTTTTTGAGTCATATAAAAATATTCCCCTAGAAAGTTATGGAAATGACAGAAAATAGTTTTGTTATGTTAAAAAATAAATATACTACCCTATACATTTTATAAATTACTTATAACCTAACTAAACAATTTTTTAAAATGTTATACGAATTTTTGCAAAATACCTATCTCAATAAGAAAGTTAAAAATATATAATAAATATTTTTGCACTTAATTTTGTTATATTTTATTAGCAAATGTCTCTTAAAGGTCAAACCTTTATGTGTCATTAGAAAAAAGGCTGCATTATTAATACTGTAAGTCATTTCTTATTAATTAAATAAACGCTCATCAAATTCGTTGAGCTCTCTGTGAATGCTGTGAATTATTAAGAAATCCATTATTATCAATTATTTGGTGGCACACTCGTTTCCCATGCGAGCTGACACCAAGGTCGCTGCTCCCCCTGAGTTTTCCCACCCAGGATGGTTGGGACGAGAAAGTCGAGGAAAGTCTCGGCGGATGATGGAGACACTTGACAGTGACAGCCTAGCAGGACGATGACGATGTCGAGGACGAGGACGAGGACGTGGACAAGAGAACGATAAAGATGAAGACAACGGTGAAGAAGTGCGGAAAAACCGCTGGGGAAATGTTCAGCATCAACATCATTTTGTGTGTGCATTTGAGCGATTACCCAAGTGATTACGGCCAAATGCACAACGCAAGCACCTGACACCTACTAGACAAACAATTCATAATTTCAAGTGAACCCGTCTTCATCAAGGCAGTCCCTTTCTGGCCATTACTCGCCCCTTTTATTTTATTTCATTTTGTTTTCTTTCTATACGTTTTACCCCCCTTTTTTTTTCTTGGTCATCATTTAGGGCTAACGAGTTATTCTGCGGTTCAGCACGGATTGTGCCATCTCTTCATCAGCGCTGCGAAAAACGTCGCTCATTTATTTTGATTACCTTTTCGCAGAAAGCCAAACCAATGCCAACAGCAGATTTTCCCTCATTTTCCACATCCACTTCCTTGTCGGCGGAGCTGTTTTCGTTATATTTGCTGCCTTTTTTTCATCACTTT